ACCCAGTAGGAGGACCAGAATTGACCAGAACACACGGAGTTGCATGGGTTGCATTTGCTCGAGAACACAGCCATTGGTCTTTGGACGAATGGTCTGGTTTACTTTTTACATGTGAGTGTAGATTTGCTCTACGACCTTCAGATGGGCATGAAAGATGAAAGGATTCGAAATTAAAGGTGAAACTACAGAACCAGAGACGACCTTTTCAACGTAGCTCAGTGATGATGTGGGCGGGAATTTCAATGGAGTGTCGCACAGATTTGGTTGTTCGTGGATGGTCTTTGACAGCCACTCGCTATGTGGATGAAATTTTGGACCATAATGCGTTGCCTATACTCGATGAAATCAACGACTATCTTATTCCAATGCACGGTAACGCCCATCCGCATGTCGCCCGCATAGTACAAACCTTAAACAGCGTAGCATCAGGATCCTCGCCTGACCAGCCCGTTCTCCAGACTTGAACCCCACCGAACAACCATCGGATAACCTCAAAAGAGGAATCAAAAGCACGTCCATCATTTCCTGATAAACTCAATGACCTTGAAAGTACTCTTCGTGAAGAATGGGCTAATCTCTAGCAAAGAGGCCAGACTGGTAGAAAGTATGCCGAGGCGTCTTTGAGATGTAATTAAGACAAGAGGAAAAAATACGTAATATTGAAATGATAATTAAAAATCTATTTTTTTGTTTATTCTTATATTATTACTTGGACAAATCGTTTGATTGAAATATCACCGAGAAGGAACAATGACATCGGTTTTGGTTCATTTTGGACGTTTTTGCAATAGAAACTGGCTTCTGTCGAAGTAGAAGGAAAGTCCTACTTTTACCAATTAACGATGCCAACGGATGACAAGCAACGGAGAATAACGAGTCGCGTGTAGAAAAAAAATCTTTTCCGCCACGTCCCTTATTCCGACACGCATTCGACGTGGGTTTCGTCCATTTGAAAAATTACCAGGAGAAAATAGAAGGTTTTCGACAATAATTTACCGATCGTTCCTGACACCTCGGAATATCTTGAGTTTATCAGTAAATTTTTTAAAAAATTTCGGCGGTTTTGACCCGGAGTAAAAGGATTTTGGGATTTTTCGAACAGGATGTGCCCTAGAGCGGTCATATAGCTCCCGGTGAAAGAACAAGGAGAAAGGTCGAAAAAAAACGTAATCCGTAGGACGGAAATTATCCCTGAAGCACGTCCTCTTCCATTCTAGTTTCGTGACACTCCAGATCAACGGGCGCTCATTCTAATCGTGATCACGAATGAAAAATTCAATTTTTCGCACCTTCGAGAAAGAGGACGGCTGGCGAGTTTTTCTAACGGGGCCTGGATCCGCTCGGGATTCTTTTACCCTGGTCGTTATTTACCATGACACTCGATTTGACTGGATTTGGATTGTTGCCGGCCGAAGAAAACAGTCCGGCGATCACGGACGGGGGGACGTTTTAAACGGGATGACATCGGAGTTGTTATGGTCTTAGAACCGGATCTAACATTTAGGAATTTCAAATTCGCAACAGAGACCAAAATTAAACCTCTTGAGATCCTTGAAAGAGAACTCCTGAAACTCCGAAGTTATTGTCCTTTTTTACTGATTATAAATATTTTCTTTCCTTTACTGGACGACTTTCGGCTATCTCAAGCATAAAACAAATAAACAAACTCTCACTCCCTCCTTGAATAAATTCCATTTTTTACGTCATATTTACTTACTACAAAAAAACTCCTATTTGAAAGCCCCACTAAGTATCAATAAATAAAATATAGATACTGTAAATATCGAGTAAACAAAAATATAGGTACATTTTTTAAGTATGTATAAACAAAACGTAGATATTGTATACACTAAATATTAATAAATAGAAACGAGTGTATACAGGTCTCATGATAGCTAGTAGATTGGCTAAATTAGTCTTCGGAACAAACAGAAACAAGTCGTCAACTTTGCAAATGTCCTTAATATTATAAGTGGCCTGATATAAAATCCAATCAATTAAATCATTCATTAACATATCTGGAAAATCGGGAGTCTGACATTTGGTCTTAACACAATTTCGACAGATTGTAGAACGGTACAACGACTTAATATCCTTAAACGAAATTATAGATAAATAAAAATATCGACACATGAGTATCAATAAGAAAAAATATCGACAGATTTAGTATCGATAGATGAAAATATCGCCAGGTTTAGTATCGATAAAAAAAACATCGAAACCTTTAATTTGGATAGACAACGATATAGATACCACTAAACAAAATTATCGCTATACAAAATATTGGTCAATAAAAATGTAGGCACACTATATATCGATAAACAAAAACAAAGATATATTAAGCATCAGTCAACAAAATTATCACTATACCAAATTCACTAGTTTCGTGGTCCGCTTCACCAATTAATATCTTACAATTAATTAAGGTTTTCAGTTGAGATAAAAAAGTCGTGGCACGAGCGGGATTCGAACCCACGATCTTCGGCTTGATACGCCGCTGCTCTACCACTTGAGCTATCGTGACCTCGATCCACTCGGACACTAACTTCCCATCTCAACCCCACCTTTTGAATTTTCCCTCCTTTTTGCCATTTTTCAAATGTCGTTTAATCAGGATGCGATTCTCGGGGACAAATGAAATGGCCACGGAGAGCTTTAGTGAAGTATTCACTTCATTTTAAACTTATTAAATTCACTAGTTTCGTGGTCCGCTTGACCAAAAATGGCAAAAAGTAGGGAAAATTCAAAAGGTGTGGTTGAGATGGGAGGTCGGTGTCCGAGTGGATCGAGGTCACGATAGGTCAAGTGGTAGAGCAGCGGCGTATCAAGCCGAAGATCGTGGGTTCGAATCCCGCTCGTGCGATTGACTTTTTTATCTCAACTGAAAACCTTAATTAATTGTACTATACCAAATATTGGTCAACAAAAATATAGGCACACTATATATATCGAAAAACAAAAGTATAGATATACTAACTATCCCTAAACAAATCTAAAGCTATACCAAATATTGGTCAACAAAAATATAAACACACTAATTATCGAATAACAAGAATATCGACATATTTAGTATCGAAAACAGAAATATCGATACGTTTAGTATCAACAACCAAAATATGTATAATCGACAAACAAAAATATCGATATTGTGTTCCCGAGTACTCATCGTCAACAAGACAGAGGATCTTTAGCATCCCCCGCGTACTCCCGAGATAGAGAAGGCCACTCTATCTCTCTGAGTATACAGGCTCCCCCAGCGTAGAAACTTCCGGGAAGCGGTTTAGTTTAAAGTGGAATTGCTAACCACCCCCTACATGAGCACCGCCTACGGTAAAATCTCTATTCGAGCTCAGCCTACACCTGTCACGCGCATTCGAGGGACGCCATAGGCTCAGCCTAGGTGGTCCGATCCTTCGCTTCCCCAAGAGTACCACGCCGGTCATACGCGCAACAATGCAAAGCATACTCGAGTCAAAGACACCGCTTCACTACCCGCTCCATCCGCTTACTTACGCATTCGAGGGACTATAGAATGATCATCGCGTCCTCAACGCTTACACGCTGTCGTCCGGTCGCAACGTCTGCCGTGAAGCCGGGGGTTTTTACGCTGGCCATAGGCAAACTTCACGAAGGTCACAGATAGAAGACAGCCTCTGTCTAAGTTCCCGCCAGGGGCGTCACCACGCGCCACCACGAAACCGTTCCCATTGTAACTTGAAACATTTAAGTTACCCCGTGGTACAGACGGCCATACACCCTCCCCCGTCTATGCAGACAAGATCTGGTGCACTGGCCCTCGTGTGACTCTAGTAAGGCACCCGCCGCCCGTGCCCACCCTAGGCCGACACGAGTACAGCTTGTGCTTCAGAGAGGTTGCCAAGCCCTCTGGGCTGCACCTTTATTTTGTGCCCGGATACCCCCCTTGTAACCAATGAAAGTATCGATATGGAAAATATCGATCAACAAAAGCATAGTTATATCGTTAAAAAAAGTATAGGCACACTTATCTATTTTTTCCTCATCCACCACCCCGCGGTCCTGCAGGGAGAACCTATTAAGTAATTAATGAATTAAGGAAGTTTAAAATTACTTTAATGTCTTCTCCTAGCCTTACCTTTGTGGAAGGTGAGACCAGGGGAAGGAATTTTTTTTTTAATTATCTATTCAAGTGGGTTCCCTTTGCTGTTTACTTCTTTACACTTTGGTTCAATGATATTTACATATGATAAATTTTACAAGTTTGTTCAATAAAGGTAAACAGCCCGAAATTTACCTATTTGAGTATACAGGGTGAATTGCTACTCGTGCTACAAACTTCTCCAGTAGATTCTTCACCCTAAAATGAACAAAAAAGTTCATATTGTCCATGGTCNAGAATCGGACCATGGACAATATGAACTTTTTTGTTCATTTTAGGGTGAAGAATCTACTGGAGAAGTTTGTAGCACGAGTAGCAATTCACCCTGTATACATATATACTGAGACTAGAAAGACGAATAAATAATAAATAAAATAAATAAGTTGGATGAAAGTATTGTCGAATTGTCGATAAACGAACATAACAATGCACTTTCTATCGATCGAAATATCGATACAATTTGTCAGTACAGATAAACTATCGACACCCTACGTTTTGATAACCAAAATATCGATATTTGTAGAGCAGATAAATTTTTATCTATTAAAATAAAAACTTAACCAATAACAAAATATAGGCATACTTCTCTATGTGTATGTATGTTCTCCATAAAAGAGATGTACTTGTTAGCGTACCTTTACCTTTATTAGTACCGTTACAAATTAGACAATAAATTTTCAGGCAGTTTATGACCACCTTTATGTTCATAATTCTCGATAGGGAATTTCCAATAAAAGGTGATGTATGTTCTTTTGATTATATTGCGATCTTTATGTGCATTAATGTCTGTTATGGTTGTCTTTATTCGCTTAAACAATTATTTTCATCCAATTATTTTTTATTTTTTTATTTTTTTTTGCAGATCGACAACCTGAGTGCCCATTCTCTCAACAATACGGCCAAAGCTGAAAAAGAGCTCGTTTTCTTCAACCGGGTGCCCAAAGTTGGCAGCCAGACGTTCATGGAACTTCTGAGACACCTGGCAATGAGGAACGACTTCGGCTTTCACCGAGACCACATCCAGAGGGTCGAGACCATCAGACTCGCACCAGCGGAACAGGTAGGGTAAATTACAAAATTTCAAAGCAAGAAAAATTTCAAAACACGTTTTAATTCCAGCTCGGATTAGCAGCCATGATCAACAGCTACTCCACACCTTCAGTCTACGTCAAGCACATTTGCTTCATAAATTTCACACAGTAAGTTCTACTCGAAAATAGATAAAGTTGTAAGGCTTAACTAATTAATTAAAGAAGCTTTTTACGGTCAGTAATCTTGAGTTCTTCTAGCAAGCCAGGTGCCTTCAATTTCAATATCATTACAAAAGAAATACATAGTTTCAAATTCGTGCCCTTTAGGATGTGCAAGCATGAATGTTTTAACGAAAGTCTTCTCTGCTAAACATTTCTTCTTTCCCAAACTTTCTTGGGTGCCAGGGCACAGGGGAATTTTGGGTAACGAGAAAGCAGACAGGCTAGCCAGAGGAGGATCTGCAAGACCATACATGGGCCCCGAACCTATTCTTGAGATAACAAAAACATATATAGACTCCTCCATCGCAGAATAGATCCAACCAAAACAAAAGGAGACGTGGATAAACTCTAGCGGCGCTAGACATAGTAAACTTATGATGAGACAACCCTCACCGAGACTGGCAAAAGAACTGCTGCAATTGGAGAGGACCAAACTCAGAGGAGTGGTAGGACTACTAACCGGTCACTGGCATCTGAGAAAACATCTGCACAACATGGGTATATACAGCGATGATCCCGTTTCCAGATTATGTAATGAGTAGGAGGAAATAGCCACTCATATCATCTTCGAATGCGAAGCAACAGCTCAAAGGAGGTTTAACCTAACGTACGGAAAAAACTTAGGGAATCAAATTGCAGCAGCGACAGTCAATGACCTGATACTTCTAAGAAGAAAGACGGAGTCTATTGCACTGAACTAAGGAACTAGGAAGCCGGAAGGCTGCAGTGCCTGGGGCGTGCAAACCCCGCTTCCTAGTATCCTTTTCTACCATACCATACCATACCCCTAAACATTTCCTTCCATCAAGCAAAAAATTAGCATATTCCAGTTATCAAGTTTTTGTTTTGAATTAACACCGTTTTCCAATTTCAGATACAGCCTTCCCGAGCCGATTTACGTCAATCTGGTCCGGGATCCTGTCGAGAGAGTCATTTCGTGGTATTACTACGTCCGGGCGCCCTGGTACTACGTCGAGAGGAAGCAGGCGTTCCCGGACATCCCGCTGCCGGATCCGCTTTGGCTGAAGAAGGTGGTACAACAGTCGAAGAAGGTCCGTTCTTTTGCTCATTAAAAGCCTTTTACAGGATTTCGAAACTTGCGTTCTGAGGGGCGACAGGGAGTGCCAGTACATCGAGGGCGAGACCAGGGAGGGCATCGGCGACCACAGGAGGCAGTCGCTCTTCTTCTGCGGACACGGTGACGCTTGCACGTGAGTTAAAAGAAATACAAGCGCAGAACTAATTTGTGTGGTGCTTCTTGATGTCACATTAGGACTGTTCATTGAGGTTTAGGGTTGGGGTCATGAGGTCACTAGTTTTTTACTTGGCGTGGAAGATTTTTAGGTTCGGACGTCTAGGTCCGTTTAGGTTAGAGGGCTTGACTAGAGGATTAGTGTGAAAGAACAGTGTGGAATGGAAGTTGTGGAATCGTATTTGGACCATGTCCGTTTGGTATAGGATGTCTAGGGCTTTTTGGTTTAGTCAGTTATATATAAAGGAGTGTTGTGTATGCGGCAGAGACTTTTCGATCGGAAGGAATGGATTTTTTGGATATTGGATGGCTTGACTCCGTAAGTCCAAATCGGTATTATTAGTACCTTGTACATGGTTAGTTTGTAGGGTGTACACATCGTGGATTTGGGTCAAAGTAGGCGTCGGAATTGTAGGTATCTTCGGTTCAGAAGTCATTTTTGTTTTGTGTCTATTTTCATGTAAGTCTGCTGCCCAAGTAGAACCTAAGGATTTGATTAAATGAGAGGATTAGCTGTGTATGTGCACTAGTGGGCAGATTGCGTTTCTAAGTGTGAACGCTTTTTGGTTCATTTAATTTGATGAACCATAGAGAGCACCAATCGGTAATCAGAGTTGGTTTTGCTGTAAAGGTAGGGTCAGGATGAGGAGAGGATTGCGCTGTCGTCCGCGATGGTCGTGATGCTGGAGTTAGAGTATGTAGGTATGGCAGCGGTATATGCTGTATAGAATCGGTCCGAGTATACTTCCTTGGAGGACGCCGACCTTGATGGGCTTGATTCCTGAAAAATCAGGGCCAATTCTCACCTTAAAACAACGACCCGAAAGGAAGGACTTTAAGATGATAGTAGGTCTGAGGAAGAATACTTTTTACTTTGAAAAGGAGACCGGGATGCCACACTGTCAAATTCCTCTGTAACATCTAGAAACAGAGATCAGATCGGAATGCAGTTTGGAATTTTCTGCGTTGGATTTGTATCAGACCCCTCCCTGTTTATATCCCTGACAAACACTGTAATATACATGTTTTTTTTTTTTTTTTTTTTTTTTTTTTTTGTTAAATTCACGTTAGCCGATTGGATTTTTAGGCCATTCAACACCGTTGGAGCATTGCAAAAGGCGAAAAAAGCTGTCGAGAGGCATTACGCGGTGGTCGGAGTGCTGGAGGACCTCAACTCGACTCTGACCGTGCTGGAACACTACGTACCGAGGTTTTTCAAAGGAGCTTCAAAAATTTACAACGGTACTTTTCGAGCCGTTTCAAAACCGACGCTTTACGGATTAAATTTATTTTTATTTTCAGAAGAGATCGAGAGATTCCAAAGGATAAACAGAAACTCTTTCAAGCCCGCTGTGAGCGAGGAGGTGAAGGACATCGTCAGGAGGAATTTCACGAGGGAAATCGAATTTTACCACTTCTGCAGACAGCGGCTACACAGGCAGCTCCTGGCGCTCAAACTTCCCGAAATCTACCGCTGAATTAGAAAAGAAACAAATTTAACGAAAAGTTCCCTATATCGAGGATTAAAGATTATAGATCCTGTCAATCCTTGTAAATCCTGTACATTTTTATTGTGATATTTATTGTTTTTGAATAAACTCTGTAAATATTTTTATGTAATAATGTGAATGTTTATTTTGTTTTGTAAATATTTGAAAAATAGAAATATATATTTTGGTGAGTGAATTCGTCCAGTTCGATTGTGAGAATTTCCGTGGTGAACCTGATCAGTTTGATCTCCCTAACCTAAACACAGTTCAGTGGTTGTCAGGGATATAAGCAGGGCAAAGCACAGGCAAGCAGCGCTGAATCGCTTCATTCAGAAGAGAAATCGAAACCCCTCTGATTAAACTAACAGAAACGACCAAATTCTTCAATTTCTCTGCTTGTTTTATGAAATTGAAGACCTTTGCATAACCAATTCTTCATGTCCACTTAATCCTGGAATCCTGTTTAAACGACCTCTGGTTCAAAGTGAGGCAAATATTCTTTGAGCCGGCGTTCCACAAGGGAAAATTCTTGGTCCCATCCTGTATAGCATTTACACTTCTGTCGTTCCTATACATCCCAACAACGTAACTACCACCTATGTAGATGACACCGCAATTCTTCAAACACGTCCAAGCAACCTTTAAAATCCAAGAATATCTTGAGTTTATCAAAGAATGTTTTACAAAAAAAACATGAAAGACAAGACTGTTGTTCAATGAAAAAAAAATCACTTCCACTGAAACATCAACAGCAAGCTACATCCACTCGTCAGACACTTAGTACTTACTAGACTTAGTCTAGACAGCAGACCGAAATGGATTCCCCACACAAAACTTTAGAAGGAACAACTGAAAGACTGGGGGCAACAAAAAAGATTTTCAGGGTCAAAAACCGTTTTGATTGTCAAACCAGAACTAATTTTATTTAAAACATTTGTGCCACCATCAGTGTGCTAAAAATAAATTATTTAAAAATAAATCCTTTAAATCTGTAGTTAAAAATCAAACCAATTAGAAGTACTTCAACAAAAAACTTGTTTCCAATGATTATTCCTTTTATGGCAGCCTGTAAATACTTTACCGATTGCTCCTTCGTTAAAATAACTGAGAAAGTCATAAATATTAACAGTACTTATAGATTTTATGATAAAAAAGTTGAGTTAATTTCAAAATTCCTCCTGGTGAAGAAGGTGTTGCTTTGCAATCTAAGGCATATTCTTATGTACCTGTCTCTTCCTGGCAGTCGGCATATGACTAAACATGTTTAAATAGCCACTCAGATTTCATAAATTTAGTAAATCAGCATACCAATACTTTCTTAACCCTTTAACCCAAAACCAAAAAATATCTAACTGCATCAGTTTACTACAAAATACTTTTTGTCGGTTTGTGATAACCATGGTTTATCAGATTTCATATCACACAATCTTATTCTTGCCAGTCTGCAGAAGTCTGTAAATTTAACAATAACTTAAAACCCTCCCCATGTGTTTCTCTTATGTCTTGTCTTGCTTCAGACGAAAAAACAGGGTGTCCCATGAGCTGCGAACCGCTTTGCAAGCATCTTCCGAGAATTTGACCGCCGAGGAGATCACACAGCAGCTTATACAGAACATGGAAAACGAAGAGGTAAAAAACAAATCATCTCGATTATCACTGCTTAGGCGTAAGAACAGTACACACGGTAAAACCTAACAACACGGATTTCCAAACCATACATAACATCGATTTGTCGCTTTTTTAACAATATTAACTCACCTGATATTCTGTGAGGCACATATGACAAAAATAAATTATTTATAAAAAAAGATTTTCTTTAACAATAATAATTATAGTGGTAGTTAGATGGATCTGACGGATTTATTTTTAATCAGAGCATCCAACGAGGAAGTGTATCACATCCTCTCTGACCTCACAATCTTCATTCATGGGTCATTCCATCCATTGGGTGTAATTTAACTAGCTCGCACTTCATTTTAAACAAACACGCTCATTCACCCAACTGATCAAATCCCGATTAATCAGAAAGGGAACTGTATGATTAAGATCCTTCATACAGCTGAAACGAGTTGAAGCCAGAGCAAGCCCCACAGACTCACCTTGATGTCATGTACTAATTTTTACAAGGAGAAAGTTGATTTTGAGTATTGATACTGAAGTTATGTGAGAGTGTGAGAACTGTATTGCTTGTTATCTCAAGGTCAGTAATTTTTGGAAGACAGGATTCAGGAAGACTGACTTTAAGGACATATTTAAAGTGAAGCTGACCTGAAGCTTAGGTCATAGACGTCTTTACATACAACATGAAGTAGTCTAGGAGGGGTTAAGGTTAGAGTTAAAGTTAAGCGGAATCGATTTACGACCTTACGAACCGTGACCAATATTGGTCTTTTGTGCCATCTATTATTATCTAGACCTCTTCATTAAGATTGAAGACTTTTTTTGATATCCCGAAAGTTTAAGTGTTGTGTGTCCTTCAGGCTTAGGTTTTTCTTCTGCCAGGAAGGAATCCCAGCATATGCCTTAGCACTTACAGAAGACTTGTTCGACTGTTTTTTCTTCTTCCTCAATGCCAGGCTTGTTTCTCGGATCCGAATGCAGTCAAACCTTTTTGTCCTAACACCTAAGAAAGACCCAACCAAGGGTAATATGCCCCCCCCCAGCCTAATATCAACTCGCGACTCAAAGAAAAATTGTCTTTTAAAGGGAGAAAAGTTCCAAAGATAATCGTGGATTATCCAGGTCATTGGGTGGAAAAATAGATCAACCGTGAACGAGGGCCGTTCTGATAAATTGTCGTCTTGGTTCGAAAGACCGAGTTAAAAAAACCGTTTCTGTCGGACTGATCACTGATCATTTACTCGGGTCCTCGCTGGTTGATCAGTGCAACTTGTCTACTCACAAACCAATCACTACCAGGAAATCAAAGCATATTTGATAAATTATTACATGGATTTGGTAGAAAAGTTCTAGGGATTCATTTTGTTGATGTTTATGTGGGAGATGCCCAACAGTCTTAGAATAAATTGAAAATACAGATTTGCCTCAACTACCAATTTGATTTATTTGGTGTCTTTATCACCCCTCTCGATCTTTTTGCATTCTTCCTTTTCTCTACAGTACTGTTCGTGCTCGTAGACGATCTCCGGCCTTACGATCGGCTTCGACTCGACAAACCGTCTCGACGACTGCTGGGTCTTCGAAGGCTGAAGGTAGTTGGACTCGGGCCTGTCCAGGATGCCTTTGATGTCCATGTTCAGCCTGGAGCACTTTCCAGTGTCGCACTTGCTGCTGAATTTGTCGTCGGAATATTTGGCTTCGCCTGTCGAGATGAAGCGCCTTCCACTGGCCATCGAGCCGCAGACGCCCTTCGCGCCCTGAAATACAAAAAAAAAGACAGATTAAACTTCATTAAGTCTAACTTATCTCCATCGTTAATACTACCTGCACGAACTTAGGCGAGCTCTGGACCATTTGTTTGACCGTTCGTGTTATCATTTTGGTGGTTTAGGAATTATTGGAATTTTAATGTTCTTGAGGACTTAAAATTTAGTCATGCCAGTTTATAAACTTGCTCCTGATGTAATGAATGTAATCACATGTCACCCTTCTTGATTTTCATTTTTTTAACATATGGTTTAAATTTAAATTGAGACAAATTAGCTAAATGGAGCTTCAATTTTATTTCTCACAAACCCTAGCCTGGATAAAATTTAATGATAAATTAAGAAGCATTTAAGCATAAATTTAATTATTCCATAATATTCATGCTTAAATAAGTTTAACAAAAGTCTAAAAGCTTTTTTTTAATTATTTTCTTAACACAGAATTCATTTACGTTACACATCGGTACGTTAAGAATTAATAAACAACATTATCAAAAAATAACGATTTTCTAAGTTAATTTTAACAGAAGAAAATGTATACCCTAAATGTCACAAATAACATTTAGGGTGAAGCTTTGAATAATATATAAAAAATAAACTTCAAAAATATATCGATTGAATGAATTATAATGAATTTACTAGATATCAAAAAACCAAACAATATCGATGTACAAATATCAACATCATCATATAATGATAACAAATCAAAATAATTATTTACTACATATTAACAGATAAAAATCGATAGCCATAATGTCGACAAACAACAATTTTGGCACAGTAAATATTCAAAAAGAAAATTAATTAAAAACTAGATAAATAAAAATAAAAATATACTAAAAGTATAGAAAAAATGTCGATTCATTAAATATAGATTGCCAATATATCGATGCACTAAGTTATTAAAAATATCGATATTTCGAGTGTCTATATCGAAAAAAAAATTTTTGTAAGTTCATTCCAATAAGATTTTTTTTAGTTTTTTTTATATTAAGTCTAATGAACTGAAAAATTGACGCGGTAATTAAGTATTGATAAACAAAATTGTCGACACGCTAAGTATCGAAAAACAAAAATATCGATATATTAGGGTATCGATAAGGGCAAAAATATCGACTTCTTAAGTATTCACCGACACAAATATCGATATGTTACGTATCCATAAACAAAATATTGATACTTGAATATCAATGAATAAAACTTTCGACGCGATAAGTAACAACAAACAAAAATATTGATATATTAAGTATCAATAAATAAAAATATCGATACGTTAAGTCACAACGCATAAAAAGATCGAATGTTAAATATCGATAAACAAAAGATTATTCGGAAATCGTAGGTTTCAGAAAATCATTTTCTTTATCGTGCCAACGTTTCGATCTTTAGTAAGATCATCTTCAGGGCTCAAAGTGTTTTTTTCTGCGTAATTGTGCCATTCTTGCGTGTCGTGTCGAGAGTGGGCACTCGATACGTTAAGTATCGATAAATGAAAATATCGATATGATATATCGATCAAAATACACTCTATATAGAAACATATCGATATATTTTAAATATTTATACTTAAATATATCGATAAAAATATACTGGATACGCGTAGAAATATATCGATATATTTCAAATATTTATACTTAAATATATAGATAAAATATACTCGATATACGTAGAAATATATCGATATATTTCAAATATTTGTACTTAAATATATCGATATAAATATACTCGATATACGTACAAATATATCGATATATTTCAAATATTTGTACCTAAATATATCGATATAAATATATTCGATATACGTAGAAATATATCGATATATTTCAAATATTTATAATTAAATATATCGATACAAATATACTCGATATAAGTAGAAACATATCGATATATTTCAAATATTTATAATTAAATATATCGATACAAATATACTCGATTTATGTAGAAATATATCGATATATTTCAAATATTCATAATTAAGTATATCGATAAAAAAATATACTCGATTTATGTAGAAGTATATCGATATATATGATATGTCGATATATCGTTTTGCCAACCCTAGTCAAGTCTCCAAGGTGCCTGTTTGACGGTTTTTTCCTTTTCGAGTTTCAACTCAGCTACTGATCATTTAAGCTGTTTTATATTTTTGTTATATATATACATCACATTAAATTGTGTTTTTAATAATTTCGTTCTTACTTTAGGAATATCGATAAGCTTTTAAAATTACTATATCTCTCTATAGCTCGACATCATCGAAACCATTATGTATGTACTTACTAATCCAATTTTAAGAATTGTTAAGATGATGACATTTTGGGAAATATAGTCATATTGTAATTGGACTTTTGACTAGAATAAGATATATTTGGCGTCTGAATTATCGCCTTAACTTTCTGTAAAACTTTTTACTCTATTTTCCTTTTTAAATCGATGTTTAAAAGAAATAACTCTCACAGCTAAAAATGTGTTGGGCCTTATATTTTGAAACTAGTGTTCGTTAAAAAAAATTGAAATCACTTTTTACTTGGACGGTGTTTTCTTCCGCAGCCGACACCTAGAAAGCCAGCGATCTGGCAAATGTAAGTTTTGGCCGATTTTGTCTGCGGCACGCAATGTTGGGCTTTGCGAATTTTTTCACAGTCTTTACGCTTTTGACCTGGGGCACGAGGACATTCGGGAAGACGAGGAGGGACTTTCGACGGATCGTATTCTTGCTTTTTGTATCGTTTGGCCGGGGTCCATGGGCAGTACTCTTCATCACGGCCGCTCTTCGGCTCCTCGGCCATGGCCACTAGACTCTGGGTAGCAGCGCTCGTGTGGAACTTTTTCTTTTGGGGTGTCTGCTTTTTCATGCAAGATATACCGTAATCTCTTTCCACTTCGCATTTGACCTCTCTAGGTTGACGGCAACGTCCGTAAGGGATGACCCTGCACTTTTTCCACAGCTTGGCGCTGTCCGGATGGGGTTTGGCCCTTTTGGCGCCCTTGCATTTCCCGGCTGCCCTAGTCCCGCAGTAGATCGGGCCGCGAGGTTTGTCGAAGTCTTCGACTGCCTGGGCGATCCCTTGGCACCCGGAACATACCGGAGGGAGGATGTCTTCTTTCTCAGCTTTGCTCTTCCCTTTGTTCTCTTTCCCGTCGACCGCCGAAGAAGTCATGAAGGGTCTCACAGAGGTGAAGTTATGGAATTTTCTCGCGTTCAAGAAAACATCTTCTTCTTGGCGTGCTTTCAGCAGCTTCTGCTTTCTGATGGCTTCCTGTTTCAATGACAGCTGTCGGATTATAGACAGAGGAGCGTCATCTGCTTTCTCTTTTTTCTCTTTGCGCCGTTTGATGAACACCTTCTCTTCAGGCTCCGTTGGGGTTTTTTCCGTCGTCGGCCCCACCTCCTGCAGCTCCCTGTCTTTCTTGTCACGCTCGAGTAGGCGGAAAAGTATATTCTTTTTCGGATAATATCTAGACGTAGAAAGGTCGGGTATGGTCTTCATGTCGAAGCCCGCCCGTCTCGCCAGTTTCGCGATGGAAAGGGACGATTTGGCAGGCTGCAGGTAAGCGTGTTCGTTTTTTTGTTCGTTGAACTGTTCCCAGTCTTGATCGTTCAGCCGCTTGGAAGTGTGAAAATGTCTCACGGAGACCATTTGACAACCGCGGTTCGCCGGGTTCAGATGTCTGTCGACGACGCTGAGTCCGGTCAAACGGCCATCATTGTCGCACATCAATTTAGTCACAGAACGCGACAATTGGAATTCCTTTTGTAAGTTATTGCGTAAAGCCTTGGTGCGATATTCACCCGATAAACAATTCAAACTCTCGTCGAAGCAGTTCGGCATCTTAATCATCACGCTCTTCCCAAGCATCTCGTACCAGATGTCGATGGAGGTCCTCGGTACGTCCAGTTTGGACTTGGAATCCCATCTGTGCTCGTTGGTGAGCAAAAAGCAGAAATAGTCCTTCCATTTTTTCCAATCGTTCTTCACCACCTTGTCGTCCAGACTCGAGAGGCTCTTTCGATCGAAAGACGTCGGGAATTTCCCCAAAGACTTTGTCTTCAACGAGCTAAACAAGTTTGTACTGAAGTTCTCCGCCTCACAGTCTTTAAAGCCGGGCTTGTTCAATTTGTCGACTTGATTTGAAAAAATACAGGAACCCTTATTATGAAACACTTCTTTGGCTGTCACAACCTGAAAATACACGTTCAATTATTAGAAAAGCTGCATTAGAAAAAATTCCAATTATTTTGATTTTGATCTCAAAACCCCCAGGTGGTGAAAAGACACTGAGCAAAACCCTATAAAATATCTCTTCTCCATCATACAATGAAATAAACAGGCAAAACTGTTAATAAACGAAAAAAAATCAATATTTAGGATAAAGTTTACAGATTAATATTTCGTGTTTGACCAATTGTTTTTCAAAATGACTGCTTCTTTCTTGCTAGCTTCTTTCAGGCTTTAAACCATAAAAATCGTCAAACAACGTTACATAAAAAACGAACACGAATTTGATCAAAGACTTGGAAATAACTCCAGAAGTCAAGTCAATTTTATTCTTGTTCAAATATATTCTGTTGTTCTAAACAAATCCTTCTTCATCTTCAAACATCCGACCAGGTACAATTTTTGAAACTGAAATTTATTTTCTCCTTGGGGGTCTTCTATTTTTAACTTTAGATATTAATTAAATATTAACACAATTTTCAACTTATGTGAGAGTTATTGCAAGACTGATATTTTTAAATTTACTTAAAACTATGAACTACATTAGTACATCTTAACTTTTGTGACTTATAGATAAATTAGAACCGGCTGTTTAAAAGTAAACTAAAAAACCCATTTTTGAGTGGTAGAAGATAATTGTTTTGATGTATTATAAACAATTTCAGTTATGCATTTATAAAAAAAATTGAAGAACAAAAGGTACGAAGAAGGTCCTTTGCAACTTTTATTTTTTAATATCAGGGACAGACACAAAGTTAAATTTAAGCTTTTTGATATTTCTTCTTTCGGATGTAGGAGATGAAGGTACTGCTTTCGCATGCAGCTTTATCATTCCTCTCGTAATCGCCATAAGCATCCATTTTGACTTTGGGGACTTTTTTTTTCTGATCGCTTTTCTCGACAGGCGCAGAGGGTTTTGTAGAAGGATCTTTCGGGTCTGAGGGAGCCGATTCTCCTTTCGCTTCCTTTTTAGGACTTTCTACGGGATTTTTCTTTGTTTGATTGGCTATGAGTATGACCTTGTACTTCGGTACGGCTTTTTCTTCTTTGGCGCCGGGTAGGATTTGATGTTTAAGTAGTTGAAAGGACTTCGATCTCGGCTTGGTCTTAGTTTTCAAGCACCTCGTCCGGAGAGCGTTCGACTTCGAATGGAATTTTCTAGTCGGGTAAGGCAAAAATTCGATATCGTGAGGTACCTTATAATTTAACTTTTTGATGAAGCTACTACCCCTTTTCGATTTGTTCGATTGCATCATCATCAAACGTTGTAAAGGCGTCTTCGGTCCCGTATTCGCCTTTGGCTCGACCGGTTCCCGAACGGGAGCGTAACTCTTCATCAGTTTGTTCAAAACCCCATTTCTTTTTGGACTTTCCGACGGTTTCGGTTTGGCCTTTTCGTCGAAGTCGAAGCCGGCGACTTTCGCGATCGTCTCTATTCTCACGGAGTTCTGCGCCGGCTGGAGGTGGGACGCTTCGGGGACGTACATGTACGAAATCGGACTCCGGATCGAAATCAGCTTTTCCACTTTTTCTTTAGTGGACGCTCCTAGGATCGAAGTGGTGTGGTATCCCCTGTGGTTCGACTCGTAAACCTTTCCTGATAGAAACCCTTTGATGTTCTTCTGCAGCCAGGGTTGTGTGGGTAGAGCACATTCGTTCTTTTTCGCCCCATTTGAGCTTCCTTCAATGGCGGTAAAAAAGAGGCTTTTCACCTTAGAATCTTTCGGAAATTGTACGTTTGAACGGCTTTTGATGGTAGAAAACGGTACGTTGCAGTCACAACTATGATATTCGAACGTACAACACCTCGGACTCGAATATACGCGTTTTGCGCTGTCGTAAATTAAAAGCGTCGGGTGTTTGCGCGTCGCCACGTCTCGGTCATACCAGCCGCCGTCTTTCCACTCTTGTCCAAATTCGTTCAACTTATTGCAGTCTGTCTCTTCTAATAGCAAAATGTCGAAATAGCCCTTCCAAGACCTGTCCGTTTCGAAGGCATCCTGTTCGCAGGGAGTTTCGTCCCTGTTTTCATACAGCTTCCTTATCCAAGAGAAAATGCTTGTCTTGGAGTTTAGCGCATTTGCTGAGCATTGCTGAACATCCAGACTGTCATTGGCCGATAGGCCGGCTTGCTTGGCCGGTTCGAATCTGCCCCGTCCTTTCGGCCTCTTTGAATTTATCGCTATCTGTTGAGAGGCGACCTGAAAATATATTCATTAGTTATACTTCCTTCTCCAATCTTTTCACCATTCTTTGATATTTCCAAGATCCACAATTGCTAATACAATTCCAACCCTAAAACCCATGCCAAACGATTCGAATATAGACAAAATCATGTTATGAAATGGTCTCAAAATGACCCATTGTAAAATAAACAGTAATAAAAATAAACACTCAACATTCACAAAGTGAGCAGGTCAAAATAAAACAAATCCATCCAAAGGTAAACTAGTAAATTAACATAAAATTACTTTTTATTGACACATTTTAATATAATTTTTATTTTATCGAGTTATACACACATTTATCATATTTTTATCATGTAAAACCAGGTAATTCCTTTTTTTTAAGTAGAGGAAACATCTCTTAAGCTAAATATATACAATTCCCAACCAACTAGTCTTCTATTCTCCCAATGGACATCAATTTTTTTATGTTGCAAGCATAATTCATAGCATTCTTCTTTTTTCACATTGTATTATGTTTTCATGTTCGTATTTCTTCGATTTTTTCCATATTTTCGTTCGATCGCCTAAGTAGATATTTTAAGTTTCGGAATTTTTATAAACATTTTGAACATTTTTGCCACTATCCCGATATTTAAAAATAAAATAGGAATCTAAATCATAATTTTCTTGTATTTTTCTTTAAAAATATGTATCCTCTATATTTTACTTAGTTTTAATAAAACTGAGTCGTTTGTCTCAAGGCGAAATAGTTTAAAATATAAAATATAATTATAAGCTGGATTAAAATTAATGTTTTTGTTGCTAATTTTTTGTTCTTAAGACAATTAAAATACACTGTTTACCATTATATATTTGATTATGTTGGATTTTTATTTTTTTAATTATTTGCATGCAATATTTTTTTGACGGTTTATGGTTTGTCTTTCTCCAATGGTATTTGGTTTTTTTGAATATTTCTGAAGACGCTCTGCCCCAAAATATCAGTCTTCTCACAATGGACTTCGAGTAATGTTTTTTTTTAATGTTGCATCTTCATTGTTGCAAGCATAATTTTTATCTCGTCTTCTTTTTTCACACTGTATCATATCTGTTAACATCCATATTTTTTTAGACAATCTTGATTGCTTAAAATGTTCAATTTTTCCAGATTTTCGTTCAATCCCCCTGATTTTAGTCATCAGAATTTTTATAAACATTTTGAACATTTTTGCCACTATCTTGATATTTATAAGTTTCGTGGTCCGATTGACCAAATAAGTTCTTTTCAATTAATTAATCTTTCATCTCAGCCAAAACGTTAATTAAAGGTTAATTACTTGATATTTATATATAAAATAGAATCTAATTCACAATTTTCTTAAACATTTTTCTTATTATTATTTATTTTTTAATTATTTGCATACAAAATTTTTTAACGGTTTATGGTGTGTCTCTCTCCACTGGCATTTCATTTTTTGAATATTTCTGAAGACGCTCTGCTCCAAAATTAATCTGTCTTCTCCCAATGGACATCGATTAATTTTTTTTAAATGTTGCAGCTTCATTGTTGTAAGCATAATTCTTATCTCGTCTTCTTTTTCACGATGTATTATATCTGTTAACGTCCATATTTTTTGAAGATAATCTTGATTGTTTAAAATATTCAATTTTTCCAATTTTTCGTGCAGTCCGTCCAGTTGATATTTTAGGTATCAGAATTTTTATAAAATAAACATTTTGAACATTTTTGCCACTATCCTGATATTTAAATACAAAATAGAATCTAAATCATAATTTTCTTATACATTTTGCTTATTATTGTTTATTTTTCAATTATTTGCATACATTTTTTTAGCAGTTTATGGTTTGTCTTTCTCCAATGGCATTTGGTTTTTTGAATATTTCTGAAGACGCGCTGCCCCAAAATATCAGTCTTCTCCCCATGGAAATCGGGATTAATGTTTTTTTTAATGTTGCAGCTTCATTGTTGCAAGCATAATTCTTATCTCGTCTTCTTTTTTCACACTGTATTTTATCTGTTAACGTCCATATTTTTGTAGATAATCTTGATTGTTAAAAATGTTCAATTTTTCCAGATTTTCGTTCAATTCGACCAGTTGATATTTTAGGTTTCAGAATTTTTAATATTTTGAAAATTTTTTCCACTATCTTTATATTTAAATACAAAATAGAATCTGAACCATAATTTTCTTACACTTTTTTCTCATTATTTCTTTTTGAATTATTGCATACATTTTTTTAGCAGTTAATGGTTTGTCTTTCTCCAATGGCATTTGGTTTTTTTTTTAATATTTCTGAAGACGCTCTGCCCCAAAATATCAGTCTTCTCCTAATGGACATCCGATTGACTAAATAAATTATTTTCAATTAATTAATCTTTTATCTCAGCCAAAACCTCCATTAAAGGTTAATTACTTGATATTTATATATAAAATAGAATCTAAATCATAATTTTGTTAAACATTTTTCTTCTTATTATTTATTTTTCAATTATTTGCATACAACATTTTTTTAACGGTTTATGGTTTGTCTTTCTCCACTGGCATTTCATTTTTTGAATATTTCTGAAGTCGCTTTGCCCCAAAATTAATCTCAAAATTAATCTGTGTTCTTCCAATGGACATCGATTAATTTTTTTTAAATGTTTCATCTTCATTGTTGGGAGCATAATTCTCATCTTGTCTTCTTTTTTCACATTGTATGTCCATACTTTTTTAGAATCTTGTTTTAAATGTTCAATTTTTCCAGATTTTCGTTCAATCCGTCCAGTTGATATTTTAGGTAACAGAATTTTTATATAAACATTTGGAACATTTTTGCCACTATCCTGATATTTAAATATAAAATAGAATCTAAATCATGATTTTCTTATACACTTTTTCTTAAAATAATCTATATACTCTATATAAAATCCAAGGCTCTTTTTAATAAAACTGAGTGGATTTGACTCAAGGAGAAAAGTTTAAAACATAAAATATAATTATAAGATGGATTAAAATTATTGTTTTATGCTAATTTTTTGTTCTTAAGGCAATTAAAATTCACTGTTTACCATTACATACTTGATCATCTTGGATTTTTATTTTTCAATTATTTACATACAAAAAGATTTTTTTAACAGTTCATGGTTTGTCTTTATCGACCCGACTCAATCACACAGACGTCACATTTCTTGCACTTTCTTGCCGCATGCGATCTGGAAGAAACTTGCTATACCGCTAATGACACCTTTCTTTTTGGCCATTAGGCACGATTCTCTGAGCGTTTCTTGGATCGAATACGTTTTATTCTCTCCGCCGGGTTTAACTTCAACCGGCACCTCTTTGACTGTTTGATCCGCGACTTTGTCGCAATCCAATTCGACGGGCTTTTTGACGGGTTTTTTATTTTCATAGAAGCCAGCGTCGACCAGCCTCTTCCGAAGCGTGCTCTTGTACTTGACCATGGCAGGCAGTTGGGTTTTGAAAGTGATCCGACCGTTTTTCGAAACGGAGCGCATCATGTTTTCACTGTTCTTGCCTGGGCCTTTTTGGATTAACTTCAAAACGGGCCGATTGTACTCTTCTCTGTACTGCTTGGTATGGTACTTTCTGACCGGGTAAGGGAAAAACTCAATCGACTGATTTAAACTTTTCTCGTTTTTCACGCAAGTGTCTGCGCCTCTGAGTCTTTTCTTCTTTTTGACGTCTTGGATCAACATAAGTCGTTCTAAAGGAGTTTTCGGGACTAATTTGACACTTTCGCCCTTCTTGTCTAAGACCCGTTTCACTTTGTCCGGTTCCTTGTCCGGTTCTTCTTGCGGCTTCTGTTTATTTTCACGATTGAACTTCCTCAATAATATATTCCCGGTTGGAGTCTTTTTGGACTTGTTTAGAATTTTCTTCAGCCTTGTAGTTTTGAGATCGACACCGGCCCTCTTGGCGAGTATGTCGACGCTCAAGGCGCTTCGATTCGGCTGGAGGTGCATGGTCGCTTCGGGATGGTCCATGATCGAAATGGGATTTTTCGACTGGATCAGCATTTCAGATTTCTGTTTACAATCGTTGCGTTCCAACTGTATTGATGTAGTATGGTAACGTTTAGAACTCCTCACCTCCGGGAGTATCATCCTCGAGCACAGGCCTTTCTTTATTTCCCTCTGTGGCTTCGGATCTGACACGACTACAGGCCTGAGAGTACCACCTGGCAGATCGACGCTCATGAACCGTGTGAACATGTTTTTTGGATATTCCACGCCTTTAAACTGTCCGTACGTCTTGCACTGGAGTTTGGCGGATTTTTCGTGCACCTCGGGCAAGGCGGCGCATTTCATGTTGCACTTTATGATGTACTGTTTTGCCGTGGGCGGATTGGGGCCTCCTTTGAACGACGAAAACGGCACTTTGTATTCGAAGGATTCGAAAAAGGACATGGTCTCTTTCGAGCTTGAGGAGGGACAGTCGGCGGATTTGGCGACCGCGCACCTCGGTTTTATGTGTTCCGGAGGAGGACAGTAACGCAGCTCTGGAGTGTCCGTCGGCTCCGGCAGGGTCAGGCATATGCTGTGCATGACCCCTTGGCCGTGCCACTCGGTCGGGTTGCACAGACCGCACTTTTTCCAGTCCTCCTCGCACTTCTGCTTCCTCATCTCGTACATTTTCCTACACATGACCAAAGGGGGCTTCATAGTGATCTCGTCCGGGAGTAAAAAACTGAAATACTCCTTCCAAGTCATCGGTTTCTTTTCGGGCACTTCCTCGTCACAAGACGTTATGTCTTTCCTGACGTACACCTTCCTAAACCTGGGGAAAAATCTTTTCTTTGGGCATTGCTTGGGTTTTAGAGAATTTGCCGAACACTGTTGTACGTCCGGACTGTTTTTGACCGACCATTGCCAGGACAGTTGTGCCGGCTCGAACCTGTCCAATCCAGTATGACTGTTTCGAACTATCTGTTGATTGGACACCTGAAAATATATTTACTAGTTATTCTTCCTTTTTCAGTTTTGATCGCATCTTTTTTTTCCACAATGTGTGATATATGAGTATTTTAACAGTTTAATTTCTATTCTATTTCAAGTCATTTCAAGTTGTCGTAAGTCTCTGATATTGCCAGTTTCAAATTCAGCATTCCTATTACACATTCTTCCAATTTTTCTCATTTCCCAATAGTAAACAGACCTGTCCATTACCTATTTATATATACTATAAAAAAAATACAAACCCTTACAATATTACAAAATATCAAATCTATCCTTTTACACAAATATTAATTTTCTACAATGCTTAAAACCTTTTACATTTTTAAATAGTATACAATTTAAATATAAACACCACAAGCTTTAATTAAAATTTATATTATAACAATCAAATACAATGTTTTTATAATATTAACAATAAATCTAATTTATATAAATCCGTGTCTCGACACAAGAGAATATTGATTGAAGTATCACATGTTCATGTTACATCATATGTTATAGGCTTGATACACATAAAAACTAGAGAGAATAAAAATCTTAAGAGATGAAGCGCATCTCTACCGTACAAATTTTGTACATCTTCAAACTTCTGGTTTGCACAGCTGCTATGAAAGATTAATCGATTTTCATTGAAATTCGATAATAATAATAGAAACATGACATCCTCTGACTTTTAAGTTTGATATTTTCTTATAATTAAAAAGAGAAGAGGAAAGACACAATTTTTCAGCTTGCACGTATAGAAGCTGTAGGACGATATTCAGCAGTTAACAAAAAGTTGGAATTGCGATAAAAATGATCATGAACTGTTATTTTATTTTTTCATAAATTTAAGACTTATTACAACATAGATCAAAATTACCTTTTTTTTTGCTTTTTTTGTTTAACCACAAACGCAAAATGAAAAGATAGTAGTTAACGAATTGCGACCCTCTTATCGGCTATGCATTTATTTATTTTTTTTTAACTTAATCTAAAAAAAATGAGAAAAATAAATAAGTTAGAATGCTCACCAAAAAGTCGGAGCGGTTAAAAACCGGACTCGTTTTGGCTAATTGTAACCCAAACATTTTGTTGAAGCTGTTCAACCATTCACAGATACATTTCAAATTGATTTATAACTGTCCAAATTTTTAAAAAGAAAAACAACAAAAAACTTGTGTAACTGTGTATGAATTTAGTGTCTGAACTAGTTAAAAGTAACTGTTTGAATACATATGCTTCATTTAAAATTTTCCCACATGTTTCTTAAATCAATTTGTTTATTTTTAAAAAAAATAATCAGAAGTTAATTGTGAAAATATGTTTTAATAATAAAAAAAAATTATGAAATGAAAAGTAATAAAGAAAAATTATTTACAAAAAAAATATAGTTTATTTTCAGTTAAAATTAGACAAAAACTTACAATTTTCGACAGTACATTTTAATAAGAATAAAAATAAATAATAAATAATTATAAATGATCACAGCTAGAATATTAGAAAGAGAAAACAAATATTTACAAATATGTACAAAGTTTTTTTATATAGTGAGAATTTTCAATTAAAAAATAATACCATTATTCGAAAGAAAAAAAAAAGTTCGAATGCCTTTTACATAAAATTAAAGCATCGTGACATTGACAGGAAATGTTTAATAATCATTTACACTTGTCATCATTGTCTTTTGGAAAGCTCAGCCTCCGCAGCGATCTTCCAAAAATCGAATCAAATTCTCCACTGTTGCTAGCGTACTCTTCGAACTGTTCTGTAATAATTTACCAAATTGATTAGTCCGTAAAACAGGCAAATTATTAGAAAGTTACCTTCAGTTATACTTCCTTTATGCTGAACGTCGATCTCGTCGAAAATCCTCAGGATGTCATTTTCATCCAACTGCGTTATCAGCCCCAAAAGAACGATGAGATCGTATTTCGTCAACGATCCTCCACAAAGCTTAAAAAATTTAATATTAGCTTATTTATTTAATTATTCAAGGATGGAATGATTACCTTAAAAGCTTGAGATATCATTTCTCTTTTCGTGTCCGATTTATTCACCAAGACAATACTCAATAAATATTCTTTCATGTCTATATAATCCGTGCTGTCCTAGAGTTATAATAGGTTTTAAAAATAGTAATAAGCTATAGGTTAAAAAAATATAAAATACGAAATACCCTTTCGAAAAGTTTGAATAAATCCTTCGCCATAGGGTCTTTCATGTTGAGGTCGAGCAGCTGGCAGAATTGCGGGTAGTTCACTAAAAGCTGACCTCCTTGAAGCAGGCTGGGGTCTTTGTTCAGCAGTTTTTCCTCTATTTGGTTCCTCGACAGACTAGAAAAAAAAAAATTCGTACATAATTGGTAAAAAAAATATTTGTCAAAAATTACCCGAGCTTGATTCTGATCTGGTGTGCGGAAAGCAGCGGGGAGTTTTTTGAATAGCTTAACCTCTTTGCCTTTGAGACGAGTTTGCAATCATTGTATGTATAATCCATAGTTGGAACTCCAAGAATTCTATAATGAACAAACAAATTAATATCCAATAATAAGTAAAATAAAAATTTTATGATCAGTTCAAAAATCATGGGCTATGCTTGGACCTCTATCAAGGCCAATGCAAGTCAGACACCGTAAATTTGGCAGGCCACAATTAATATCCAATAACATAAAAACTTATTTTTATAAAACTTACTTTGCCATGTGCTGCCTCACATTGTCGGCATAGAGTTTCGGGTCTTTCTTCTCTGCCTCGGACGGCTTGTAAACCGGTAGGAATTCTATTTCGCAAGTGAACTGCGTTTGTACTAGGGTCAGCCAGAGGAGTTTGTATCTTAAGAAAACACGCAAAAAAAAAATAAAATAAATTTATCAATATGTGCAAGAGGCAAAAAAGGATAATTACATTCCGGGTCCTTCCCAAGTCCAGGTCACCGTGTCCAGTTTGTTTGGGTACCTCATGAGGACAGGTTGGACCGGCAGTCCAGGATAGAAAGCTCCTGGCTTGAATGTGATGAGACAGGACCTATTTGTGCAAGTCCCTTCGGGAAATATTAACACCTTAAAATAAAACAAAATAAAATATTAAAGTTGAATTCACTCCATCCTGAAACACCTTTCAAAGAAATCTATATAAACTGCTCAAAAATGAACATTGATATTGCAAATTTTGTAGTATTTACTGTCCCCAGCATTTTAATGTTATTTTTATTATAAATTGCATTAAAATTTATTAGAAATGATTATATTTTTTCCTGAAGAAAAATTTAATTAAGGGATTTTGAAAAATAAAATAAAAGGTTTTAATTCCTTTTTTTTTTTGACACAATAATTTTTTTAAACAACTATGTATAATGTCCTCTGTTAGCTAAAACCCCTGTGCACCTGTTTGCATATTGTTAATGAGGTTGTCATTAATTTCATAAGGAATTTCTCTCCATAGATGTTGCTGCAGTCAGTTGTTCTGGTCAACTGGCTGCGGATGGTGATCGAAAAGGTTCCTCTGCAGCACATCCCATATGTGCTCAATGGGATTTAGGTCTGGCGAAAATGGGGGATGGGGTTTCTATGAAATCTGGCATTGTCATCCAGAAATCGAAAATCCTTGCCAATGAGATTCCTGGTTTGAGGGGTTTTTCCTCAATAATTTCTTGGACATAACAGTCTGCGGTGAGGTCACCTTAAACAATACGGAGTCCAGTTCGTCCTCCAGTGTAAATCCCAGCTACCATTACACCGCTTCCTCCGAACTCCTTTCTGGGGCATCCCCTATTCTTATTAGACTCTTCAACACCTGCTAACACTATACAGGTAGATACACGACTCATCAGTAAACATAACAGCATTCAAATTGGGTGTTCTTCGAGGTGCTCGATGCACCATATCCTCCTGAGTTGCTGGTGGCTGTTGCTACAAGTTGTCTCAAAGGGGTATCTGATATGAGGCCAACTCCCACAAACGATTACGAATGTGTTGATAATGGCCTTGCGAAAACATCTTGTACTTCATTTAGTATTAATGGCGAGCACTATGGAAAGGATTCCGTCTTCCTGCAATGAATATTTCTGTCGTCCCTTAAGATCCACTACTAAGCCTCCCATTAGCACTTCCAGTCTCTCGGGAGACCATGCTCTGAGATACGCCAACTGCCTTTGCGATATCCACTTGCCAGTGACCTGGATGACTCACTCTCACAATAATATTGCAAACTTCTGATTCAAGATGTTGTCTTTCCAAGGTTAAAGACAACTAGATTCAAATCAAAAAAAGGTGTTTGTTTACAAAATGATTAATCTTCATCGTTACTATTCTTAACTAAATCTAGTATTAAAAATGAGGATTAACTTTTTTTTGTATTTTCTATTTTGTTTTATCCAACTAACAAGATCTAGAATTAGGTTAACCTAATTGAAATTAATAGAATAAGAATAATGAATTAATAAGAAGGATTAATAATAAGAATGAGAAATAATAAGAATAATGAATTACAAAATCCCTATTCATTTTTGAGCAGTGTATTTAATTCAGTCCAATGCACAACCTATTTTCCTCATTTCTGGAAACATTCTGTCATCCGTTTGATTCCTAACCCCAAAAAACATACATTGCCCTTCTTCCTACAGGCCCATTAGCCTGTTACCGATTTTAGGAAAAGCCCAATAATGGCTTATTTTAAAATGTATCTCCCCTATCCTTAAATCTAAAAAAGTTAACCTCAACCATCAGTTTGGATTTTGTAGCCATCACTCAGCAATTTAGCAGTGCAACCATGTTGTATATGTTATTTATATCTTTTTTGTTTTGGGACAGTATTGTTTGGGGTCCTTCCTATATGTGGCCCAGGTCTTTGAGTGAGGTACCTGGCTACATTGACTTGTCATGGAATCCTCACACACAACTTAAATGACAAAAAGTTATGAAATGTACAGAGCACTTTCACGACTTTTTGACATACGTTCTAACCTACCTTTATTAAACAAAAGACTGCTTTATAACACCCTAGTGGATATGGCCTTATGGACTTGAAGTGTGGGCTTAAACCAAACATTCCTTATAACCTCCATATCCAAAGAGCCCAATCCATAATCCTTAGAAAAACCCTTAATGCTCCCTTTTGTGTGTCCAATGATACATATAGACCTAAATATTCCTTTTGTCCCATTACAACAATTCCTTACAAACCTCCCACCAACATAAATCGGCTGTAAACGGTTCGATTCTTGGTGCAGAGTCTGTGGCTATTGAACAATGTGCCAGGGAGATCAAAAAGCTGGGTATTTGGGTATTGCCAAGAAAAGCCAGACCACCTTCATCTTCCACATCCAAGCGGCACTAGAGACAACCTCATGGGTAGTAAAGTCCAGCAATTCAGATTGCACACTGTCAGACATGGTAGACAACATAATTACCCTTGATTAGGTACCAGGACAAAAGACAGAAGAGTCAACTGCTAAACTGGCCAAGAAAAGTTAGATCAGGACATCTATCAGACCTGAACCATTTTGTGGCATATGAAACAGCCAAAAAAGTAGATCTATGAGGAAATGGATTAAGAATACATCCTCTGTTCATGGGATTGCATTCCAGGAGAGAGGCATGTGAAAGAGTTTATTAAAGAACCATTGTAGAAACTAACATCAGAACTACTAAACCTGAATGTAAGAACTTAATGGTGGACTGCTGACTGGACTCTCCAGGTTCCTAGGTATAAACTCGTAACAGCAGAAACAATTGCCAGGAAGAACAAGAATAAGAGAATTTCATTATTTGGTAAAAACAACCTTAAGTTTGATGAAAACATCTTGCTCTAGACAGTAATTGAAATTGCACAAAAAACCAATATTGGTCACAGTGCACGAGGTTGCAAAGACTCCTTTTAACCATAAATTTTAAATCATAAAAATAGAGACCCTGGGAGGAAGCAGCATGTAAAATACATAAAATGAAAGTACATATAGATCACAAGCTGCCTTAAGAAGAATTAAAACTACAATAAGTTAACAAATTGAGTAATTTGTTATCTGTTGAATTCAATACTTCATTGAGTCATAGTTGTTTTAAAAAATATTTATTCTTAAATTCTCTTAAGAAGTCTTATTATACCTGAGAAGTAAAGTCTTTGGATTTGACCCTTTCAATTATTTGCTGGATTGTCTTCTGCCTCGAGTCGTGATCCTCCCTCGAGACCATGATCGGTTGTGAATATGCGAGTATCTCTGTTTTCAAACAAAAAAAATGTCTCAAATGCCAAATTTTTTCAAACATGATTCAAAATCTCTAGACTTACTCCCAAGCCAGGGGTTTGTGCCACTCTCCTTTCGGCATATGACTGTCGGAAAGCCTGTCACGTAGAGTATAACGGCATCGAGGAAGGACGAATGCGGCGCTATGACTAGTATCGGTGCTTCGCTCCTGTCTGCTTGCTTCCCCTTGACGACTATGCTCATGCCGCCACAGGCGCACGCCAAGCACATGATATTTGCAAGAATCCTTTTCAGCTTTCTGGAAAAAATATATTCCTTGAATATATAATTAAAATCTATTGAAGATGTTTTTATAGACAATCTTTTCTGTCTATTCTCACTAGAAAGTCTAAAAAAAATCTCAAGATAACATTGCTCCAAAGGCCTTATCAATTTTATTTTATTTTATATTTTATTAACCATATAATTTCAAATAAATCATAGTTCTTGTCATAGCGTTTCATACAAATTTTTAAATGAATACTATATACATTTCTAGGATTGTCCATCATTAGGTTTATTCTTGTTCTGACCATTACGGCGTGGAAGCCTGTACGTTGGTTCTTTTGTCCCTGCCTTTTTGAAAATGGTAGAGACTGCTTGATTTCTATCAGCCTTTCAAAAAGCATCAGATTTTTAGGCTGATATGGCACAAATCCTTTAAAATCAATGTTTTTAGATGAAATCTGTTCTATATCCTGGTTCAAAGGAACATTTCTGTCCCAATTTATTTATGATTTCAGAAGAACCTAGAATGAAAAGAAAAAAAACATACTACGAACAAGTATTTACATCTACAGCTTTTCCCATCAAATTTTGTTAAAATTTCAATATAACCTTTTTTAACTTCAAATTAACCTTTATTAATTTCAAATCAGCCTTTTTAAATTGACCCTTTGTAATTTCAAACTAAACTTTTTTAAATTAACCCTTTTTAACTACAAATTAATCTTTTTTAATTAAACCTTTTTAAATTCAAATTAACCTTTTTTTAATTTCAAATCGACTCTTTAATTTTTACTTCAAACCTTTTTATTGCAAATTAACCATTTTGAACATCAAATTAACTTTCTATTTTCTAATTAACCCTTTTAATTTCAAATTAGCTTTTTAACCTCAACTTAATCTTTTTAAATTAAACCTTTTTTAACCTTCAAATTAACGTTTTTAAAGTTGAAATCAACTTTTTTAATTTTAAATTGACCTATTTTAACTTCAAATTAACCTTTTTTAACTTCAAATTAACTTTTTTCAATTGCAAATTAACTTTTTTATTTCAAATTAACTTTTTAACCTCAAATGAACCTTTTTAAATTAAACCTATTTTAACTTTCAAATTAATGTTTCTAAAGTTCAAATCAACTTTTTAAATTTTAAATTAACCTATTTTAACTTCAAATTAACGTTTCTTAACTTCAAATTAACTTTTTTTCAATTGCAAATTAACTTTTTTATTTCAAATGAACTTTTTAACCTCAAATGAACTTTTTTAAATTAAACCTATTTTAACTTTCAAATTAATGTTTTTAAAGTTCAAATCAACTTTTTAAATTTTAAATTAACCTATTTTAACTTCAAATTAACCTTTTTCAACTTCAAATTAACTTTTTTCATTTGCAAATTAACTTTTTTATTTCAAATTAACTTTTTAACCTCAAATGAACCTTTTTAAATTAAACCTATTTTAATTTTCAAATTAATGTTTTTAAAGTTCAAATCAACTTTTTTAATTTTAAATTAACCTATTTTAACTTCAAATTTACCTTTTTTAACTTCAAATTAACTATTTTCAATTGCAAATTAACCTTTTCTTTAAAGCATTAAAATACTGAGGAGAGTGTGAAATATAAGCACGTAAATTTAAATTTTTGTATATTGTAATTTTTGTTTAAAATATAAAATGATCGGGCTCTTTGTTAGAAGACCTTATGAAAATTAATTGCAATTAAACATAAAAATTAAATATATTTCCTTCAATTTGAAAATTTAAAACAAATATATAAAATAGGTTCTTATATATATATANATACGTTTCATACAATTTGAGAATTTAAAACAAATATATAAAACGGGCTCTTTCTTAGAAGACATTATGAAAATTAATTGCAATTAAACATAAAAATTAAATATAAACATTAAATATTTTTCAGTCAATTTGAGAATTTAAAACAAATGTAAAAATGGGTTCTTATAACATAAAATACCTCATGGAAATTAACTGCTATCAATCAATTATTAATTAATGTTAAAAAGAGTTAATTTTACGTAAAAAGCTATAAAAACAAATGATTCTTTTACTATTTCGAGACTTTTTAAAATATAAAATAACTGGCTTATAAAAAAATTATTTTTATATTTTCAAAAAATCTGGGATTAATAAAAGAACCATTTGACTTTATACCTTTTTCCCGTAAAATTTATCGTTTTTAACTTAAAATTAACCTTTTTTATTTCAAACTAACGCTTTTCAATTTCAAATTAATCTTTTTTAATTGCAAATCTACCTTGCTTAAATTCGAATTGACACTTTCTTTAAAGCGTTAAAAAAAACTGAGATGGTGTGAAATATAAGCATATAAAGTAAAATTCCTTTTATTTGCGAATGTTGTTTAAATATACAATAATCATGCCTTTAGAAGACAATATAAAAATTAATTACTATTAAATTTAAAAAATAAATATAAAATTAAGGGTAGACAAATGGTTAATTTGACGGAAAAATGCTATATTTAAATATAAAATTAAAATCTTGGAAGACCATATGAAAATTTCAATTAAAATTAATATAAAATTGCTTTAAAAAAAGGATTAATTTGAAATTAAAAAGGTAGATTTACCTCGTTGTTTTTTTTTCAAAGATTGTTGTGGTTAGGTTTTAAAAAACATGAAACGAAACAATCAGTTTCAAAAAAACCTTTTAAAGTGGTTGTTTTGTTCCATGTTTTAAAAAAACCTGACCACAAATTAAAAGGGGTTAATTTGAAGTTGAAAAAGTGTCAATTTAAGATTGAAAAATATTAATTTGATTTGGTAAAGAGAGTTATTTTGATGTGAAAGAAAACAACATGAAAATGGAGTCAAGGATGATTAGCCTTTTTATACAAATATAACCAGTGTAAAGTGCACTCGTCGATTGCCCTTGACCCGTTGGCACCCGCCGGCGTGGGCCCGGGTTTCGAAGAGGAGTGGGTCAGGCTGATTGACCCATTTTTTTGACAGCGGGCGGTTCCAAAAAAAAAAAATGCAAAAAAACAACTCACCTCCTCCATCCCGTGAAGGGCTTGACGACGATTTCATCTTCCGGGAGCCCCAGGAGACCTACGACGGCCAGGAGCCACGCAAAGACACAGAGGGCCACGATCATCACGAGCCTCGTTGGCAGAATCATAACTGTCAATATGCCAGTCTGAAATGGTAAAAAGAAAACGACTTACAGACAAGTTTTTTTTTTTCCCAACCAGTTTCTCTTAATTCTGCTGATTGGAAAAATACATAAAAACAAGAATCAACGGGATTCACAGTCAACTTCATGTCCAGGTTTTTCCAGTCTCGCGAAAATACGTTCTTGAGTTCACAAAGAAAAACTAAGAATTAATAAACATTGCAGGTTTTTGGACCGAATTTCAGTTAATTAGTATAAGAAATGCCCAATTGTTCGAAACGTAAAAGCGACGTTCCGAGCAGTGCATCGCTGCGTTGAAATTGATTGGAAAATCTCATACTTCCCAATTGAACTCAGGACGTGTGTTACGTTAACGGTCGCTTTCGACACGCAATCGTCCTCACCGGAACCTTATTTTAATCGAAAGTTCAATTTGCATTACGGTCGGATTACTTAGACGATGAGCGGATTCGGTTCATGCCTCAATTCAAAGCACGTTTTCCATTTTCACTACTGGAAAGAAAGAAAGTGTGGCAAGCGAACAGAATTTCTACATGACGCGCAGCTTGCACAAAAGGAGCCGACGGCAGATCTATAAAAAGCCGTACGATATTAAAACATTATAAAAATATTAAAATTCAAATAATGAGGAAATGTTTCATGGGATTTTTTGTTTGAAAATTTCATAGACCTTCAAGAGCTAAGTCTAAGTTATTAAGTCGCGAAACCTTGGAGATTTGGCTTCCTGAACTCCTCATATTTAGAAAGAGATATTCAACAAACAACCACTACAGTTGGGTTAATTAAAAGCAATAAATATCAAATTTAAGACGGTTTTTTTTTCATTAAGTTTTTAACACTCATTTTTTTTTCTTTTGATTTGGGTAGGGACGAAAGTATCTAAGTCTGACTTATCAAGGAGGTGAGTTGGCACTGAATGCATGTCAAGGCGATTAGTCTAAACCTCTTTTTCTATCAAGACCTGATTTGGTTAAACTTGTTGCCTTTTTCTTTGTTACTTTGTGCTCGAGCAAACAATTCGAAGCCGGCTTTTAAAAAAGGTCAGAGACAATTTCGAAAAACTTCTACAAATCCTGTTTTTGTTATTTTTTTCGGTCTTTGTAATCCTGAGAGAAAGAGAAGGAGATTAAATGAATGTGAGAGAACGAAAGAATGATTAAGAAAGAGAAGATTGAGTGAATGAGAGAGAAAGAAAGAAAAAATGAGAGAGAGAGAGAGAGAGAGAGAGAGAGAGAGAGAGAGAGGAAGAGAAGATTGAGTGAATGAGGGAGAAAGGAAAAAATAAGAGGTAGAAAGGGAAGATTANAGAGAAACATTAAGTGAATGAGAGAAGAAGGTAGGAAGTGAGAGAGAGAGAGAGAGAGAGAGAGAGAGAGAGAGAGAGAGAGAGTGTGTGTGAGAGAGAGAGAGAGAGAGAGAGAGAGAGAGAGAGAGAGAGAGAATGAGTGAGTGATTGAGGGTGGGAGAGATTGAATGAATGAGGGAAAAGAGATATTTAATGAAGGGGAAAAGGGAGAAAGGGAGCTAAATTAAATGAATGAGAGAAAGAAAAGATTAACTGAAAGAGAGAGAAAGAAAACTTAAGAGAAACGGTTGAGAGACTGAGAGAGGGAGAGAGAGATATTGTATGAAGGGGAGAAGGAAGAAAGAGAGCCAAAATGAATGAATGAGAGAGAAAGCCCAGTCGATGGGTGTGCAGGATCTGACTCATAGAAGAAGGGTCATCCTCACCCGATTAAGAATAGGCCGTACGAGGTTGACGCACAGACACTTGCTTTTGGGCCAAAACCCCAAATGCAGAGAAAGGTTGCTTGATATGTCCACCTAATTGAAGGATGCAATTCCTTGGCTGCATACATAGAGCGCGCAGGAATGCAACCCGATTAGAGAATTGTGCTTGAGTTCGGAGTTGCGTATTTGGGTCCCCTGTTCAGATTCTTGGACGAAACGAGGTTGTTACATAAAGTAATAATAATTGTGTATACCTAGGTTGAGTTGAAAATGAATGTGTTTATTAGCGTGAATGTGTGATGTAAGTAGGTCGAGTCCATCGACCCTCAGTTAGGTTAGTCGTATACTACTGCGTACTATATGTCGTATACTATATGTATAAAGGTTGTTTTGTGAATGAATGTATTTATTAGCGTGAATGTGTGATGTGAGAGGGCCGATGGAGGAATATCGAAAAGCCATAGACCCTCAATCAGGTTAGTCGTATACTACTGTGTACTACATGTCGTATACTATATGTACAAATGTTGTGTTGTGAATGAATGTATTTATTAGCGTGAATGCGTGATGTGAGATGGGCGATGGAGGAATGTCGAGTAGCCCATCGATCCTCAATTACGTTAGTCCTGTACTTTTGTGTATGTATAAATCGTATATTATTTGTGTAAAGGTTGTGTTGTGAGTGAATGTATTTATTATCGTGAATATGTGATGTGAGAGAGCCGATGGAGGAATATCGAGTAGCCCATCGATCCTCAATCAGGTTAGTCGTATACTATTGTCTACTATATGTCTTATATTATATGTAGAAAGGTTGTTTGGTGAGTGAATGTATTTATTAGCATGAATGTGTAATGTGAGTGGGTCGATGGCGGAATGTCGAGTAGCCAATCGATCCTCAATCAGGTTAGTCGTATACTATTGTCTACTTATGTCTTATATTATATATGTAAAGGTTGTGTTGTGAATGTATGTATTTATTAGCGTGAATGTGTCATGTGACGGGTCTATGAAGGAATATCGTGTACTCCATAACCCTAATTGAATGAATAGTATGTAAATAGCAGTGAATATATTTAAGAAAGAACTGAGTATGAACGAGTATGAACTGCATGCGTTGGGTGCTGAATTGACCTAGCTGTTGACAGCACCCTTCCCCCAGAGCCCAACCACGGGCTGGACGGATAAAACTAAGGTCACTCCCGGGTGGGTGATACTCGAGTCTGCCGGCAATTTACTGTAAGTAGCAAAAGCTGGAATTGCCATGTGTGGATTTGAGTCTATGCAAATCCAAATTTTGTTTAACGGACTTAATCAATTTAACAACTTTAAAATTTAAACTGTAAGTACTAAGTGTATTAAAATTGGTCCAGTCACCAGACCACCAAGAAGAACACCACTTCCCACCTAAGCAGATTATCGTTGCGGTAAAAACTTCACGCTCTCGTTTCAAATAAAATCCGGAAACAAAGGTTTTGATCGCCGTTGATTTCTGTCGGTTATTATCTCATGCTTTCAGACTTTTGAAGGATACACAAGGGGGGGGACTCTTTCTTCACGTTTGGTCAAAGTTGGATTACACGAGTTGAATTTTCCCAGATAAGTTAATAATTGTAATTCTCTTTTCTGTATATGCCGATTGGATTTGGCGGATAGTTGTTTCTTTCTCACAATTTTCTTATTTATTATGCATTGTATATTTCCTTTGACGGAGCCGTATCCGGGCACATTTCGCGGTTCACTTATCGAAATCCGTTCACGAAGTGTTTAAGACTTTTTAAGACGAAAAAGGAATGAAAAACCAGTCCCACTTTCGACTCGTGGAACGAATGCAAGCGCTTCAGCACATGTTACAACGGGGAAACTAACGGGAAAAACGGTTTTCCTGGCCCTCCGCGTCGGAACAGCCGTGAAAATTCTTTTCCGATCCGAACGGGTGTATTGCGACCTTTTTTCCCACTCCTACGACAAAAATCTAATTATAATAAATACACATAACTCCTTTATTTAATTTATGTCTCTTTACAGAGAGCGTGTAGCAATGCAACCCGGTATGAGAATTGTGCTTGAGCAAGGCTGTTGGCTCTCCTATCCCAATTTTTGGATAAAACAGGACTGGTTTATTGTACATATAATAGATATCTCCTTTTGTGAATGTATATTGAATGAATTTATTTTTATGTATGTTTTAGCGAGTAGTGTGAGATGGTTTGTGGTGACTATAGTACCCCTCAATTATATGTAATAATATCCAATAATAAGAGTCAAAATTTATCATTTTATTTTCGATATATTGGTTTATTATGTGGGAAAATCTATTTTCGAGCTTTTATGGTAATTCTTTCTAAACCACAACAGTCTGTCGGTGCGTTCCAACTTTGTGCTTCAATCTATTAACCTCCAACTTGAATTTATGAAATAAAGCTCATAGACAAGAAAGGTTGGGGATTTTAGGCTATAGTTCTGTTTTAGTTTTGTTGGCAAATTAGTATCTGTTGCTTTTTGCCCATATTTTTAATTCACCTCAGCAGTGTATCCCTGTGTTCCGGCTTCTTGATATAACTTATGAACTTCTAACTTAAATTTATGACATAATCCTCAGAGACAAGAAACCCAGTTCCAACTCTATACTTACTATTCAATTAATTAAGCTTTATAGTTGAGATAAAAAAGTCAGTGTCACGAGCGGGATTCGAACCTACGACCTTCGGCTTGATACGCAACTATTCTACGACTTGAGCCATCATGACTTCGATCCTCTCGGGCGCTACTCTACGACTAACTTCCCATCTCAACCCCACCTTTTGAATTTTTCCTCCTTTTTGCCATTTTTCAATACTTATTGCTGGTTTTAAATAAATCTTTATTAATTTAAGTTTTAGAAACAATTTTTTGACCTTTTTCCTGATAAAATGAGATAAAGATTAATACAGAGCTGATCCATATATAGATTAATATGTACATTTTTTTAAGTGGGGACAGAACTTGGATTGAAATGAGCAGTAAAAAAAATGTTTTTAAAAATTCAATTCGGATTCGTTTCGATTATTAGAATTTGTTGGAAAGCATAATTTCTTTTCTTTTGGACTTAGTTGACAAGGGTTTGATTTTATGTCTTCTGGTTTAACTTATGGACGTCCAACTTGAATTTATGAAACAAACCTCAGTAAACTTTGATTATTTAAGCTTCAGGTCTACCTAGTTTTGTTAGAAAATCCCACGTCACAGCAGTTTATCGCTGCGTTCCAACTTCGTACTTCAATTTATTAAAC